GTGAGATGGGTGAAAAAGCAGCAACAAGTGACGTAATCGCAGCGCTGGTGATCGTACTTGGGGATGCGAATGAGTCAATAAGAAAAGACGCATGTGAAGCTCTCGGTGATATGGGTGAAAAAGCCGCAACAAACAACGTAATCGCAGCGCTAGTGACCAAGCTGGGGGATGCGAATATATGGGTCAGAAGTGAGGCATGCAAAGTTATCTGCCAAATGGATGAGAGAGGAGCAACAGGCAACGTAATCGCAGGGCTGATGGCCGCACTGAAGGATGCCAATAATATTGTCAGAAGTGAGGCATGCAAAGCTCTCGGTCAGATCGGTGAAAAAGCAGCAACACGCGACGTAATTACAGCGCTAGTGAATACATTAGGGGATGCGAATGCTATTGTCAGAAGCGACGCATGTAAAGTTCTGGGTGAGATTGGTGAAAAAGCAGCGACGAAAGAAGTGATCGTAGCGTTGATGAACAAATTGGGGGATGTGGATGATATTGTCAGAAATAGGGCATGTAAAGCTCTCGGTCAGGTGGGTGAAATAGCAGTAACAGATGACGTGATTGCAACGCTGGTGAACACACTTTTGGATATGAATGTGCATGTAAGACAAGAAGCATGCAAAACATTGGGTCGCATGGGTAAAAAAGCAGCTACGAACGATATGATTGCAGCGCTGGTGAACACACTAGGAGATGTGAATGGCGGGGTCAGAGAGAAAGCATACGAAGCCCTCGGTCGCATCATTGAAAAAGAAGCAACGAACGACATGATTGCCTTGTTGGTGAATGCATTAAAAGTTTCGAATGCTAGAGAGAAGGCATGTGAAGCGCTGAGTCGGATCGGTGGAAAAGCAGCAAGAAGTAGCGTTATTACCGGACTATTAAGTATCGCTAATTGGGATGCTTACGTAGTAGTGGAAAACATTCTGATTTCTGCGTCATCGTTGTCTGATATAGATTCGAATACAGTCTCGAAATTATTTGGTTTCTGGAAGCAGCAGGAACGGCAGCTATACAATATACCTATAGAGAAGATTATGGAGGCGTACAAGTTCACAAGAATAGCTGAATGGTGCCCTATTATTGGTTTGCATTCACTTCGTACCGGCTGTGCTGTTACGATTGATGAACAGAAGGTTATTGTATATGGTAACTCTAATCCAGTAACGTTTGACATGCCGAGTTGTACACTTTGTGATAATCTAGCTGCCGTGTTTGCTAATCAGAGTGGTTTGCCCTTTTATCTCCCGACAACTTCGAGAAACGACGTTTTACCGTCTATCCGGCCATTATCACCTGTTCTGAACGGAGACGACGATAAACGCCAAAAAATACTTTGACGATAGTTTTTTTCGTTTTCACCTATCAGTCAGCTTATCACAGCGTTTTACATGTTAAATCACTGCTGAAACAGTTGCATACGTTAATAAATTTTTCGTAACTGATGATAAGAAATGTTTTTTAATCACGCTCATGTCCAATGAATACTTGTCTAAATGCTCAAAGTTGATTAATCATTTTACTAAGTTTGTGGTTCTATTAATTATTATTATTCACGAATTTGAATTTTTTAAATGTTTCAAGTATATATGAAAGATATTCAGATCGTTTACAACTTCAATATATCTTTATTAACTCACAACTTATATTTGTAAGGATTATCTTCTATAAACTTGCTTGAGTAAAATATTATTTCTTTCATTAAGTAGAACTTTGCGCAATATTTAAATTATATGAATGAAAGTCATGTGCTAATACGAAGATCAGAACATCGAAAGAATACATAAGAATAGTTTCTGATATTTGATTGTGAATTTTCACATTGAGATCCTAACTTTTCGATAAAGTTCGATGCTCGAATCATATGATAAACTACAAGTTTTTTAATACTATAGAACATGACGTCCTTGTATCGAAATCTTCGATCATTAGTTTTGATTTGGCCAGCATATGATCCTGAGGGTGGATCGGTGTGGATGTTAGATAGATAAATTGCCCGTATTTACACAAAATCACACCCAAGTCCATCACTCTTTCACGATATATTCTTTACTGAAAGGCAATTCTTTTATAGATTCAATAAAATAATTCATATTTCACTTTGACAAACTCTATGATTTCATTGATTTTACTCATATAATTATACGCCTACCTCCAATAGATAAATTTTGCAAACATTGAAAGTCTAAAAATGTCGGAAATTGATTTAAAACGCGGATCAATACATTATATGAATTGAAAAGATCTTTGTTTTCCAATTGTACTTATAATTAATCTTTAATTTACTGTCTACAAGTAAAACAGATTAAATCTAGCGATTAACAGAATATGTAGAATGTTATTGTCGTTTATTTTTACATTTGTTGTTAATTCAAAAAGCCAAGATTTATTTTTCATGATTAAATAATGAGAAGAAAAATATTGTTCAATAATTAGAAGATAAATAGATTATTTAATAAAGAATGTTGCAATAGCACCAGCGAAATTAAAAACTAGCGCAATAATAGCCAAAACACATGAAACACCCATCTTTCCACCAAAATCAATGCCTTCCAAAACCACACTGATTCCAATAGAAACACCAATGATTCCACAAATAAGAGCTGCGATGGCAAGACCTTTTGCTAATGAAGAAATGTCCACTAAATTTTCATTAATACATAAAATCGTTATAATCGATGCAACAGATAATGATGAATAAATACAACAAAGGGTTATAAATGCACGCGTTGATATTGTTTTATAATCCGATTTTAATAGTATATTTATACAAAGTTTCGTACTTCCTTCCGATTCGCATGCTTTCCATAGTCCAACTGTGTATGAATATGATTCATCAGATACCGTTACCCTAAGCAAATAGATGAAAAATTCAATGGGATAAACGAAAAATGGTTTAATGATTCTCTGTAAAGTAAATACTTCTTTGACATAGAAATGAATACTTTAAGATATATTTTTATCGAAAATCAGTTTGAATTTTTCCCTTCTCAAGATTTGATTATTTAGTTAAAAGAAAGATTTATAAACCATATTGGTAAAGCATTTGCCGTGATGTATAAGACAGCGGTGATAACTAATAAACCAGTTGCAGTATATAATAGTGGTCGATTTTGAAGAGCCATTGAGTTGAGTTGTTTGAATGAGAATTTCTCTTTATTCAAATGAATAAAATAAAACTCACTTAGCAAATAATGATCTTAATACAGTCTTTTTTTCATTTATTATTAACTCTCTTTTCTTTACTTTTCATGTTTTAATCTAATATAAAATATTGACAATTTATGCTTTTTATCTATTTACAATAAAATGATTTCCTCTTTGTTAAAAACTAACAAATAATCTCCAGATGTCATTCATTATTTTCGTGTAAATCTTTATTTTCTTTTATAAATTACAATCAAGACACGAATAAAAATTTTATTTTTAACATCCATAATAACGCCGAATTTCTAAAATATCTGTTGAACTAAGTTTTTCTCTTTGACCAATAACTACATTATTTTGAATTGGCGTAATTGTTGGTTTACCATTGATGGAAAAAGAATTTCGGTCATAATGCATCAGACTTCCATAATCATAACTAGTATCCTGATATTCTACATCAACTCCCCATGCATGTTTTTCAAAATTATGTATCTAAAAAATACATGTATAAAATCAATCTTAAGAAAATAAAACTAATTATTTACTTGTCCAGGATTAATATTTGCATGGTTTACTGTTATAAAGGAGTCTCGATCGGGTCGTGACTGTTCATGGAAAAAACCTAAGAAAATAAAATACATTTAATTTTTATAAAAGCAAAAATATTACCAAGAACATGAGTAAGTTCATGTTGAATAATACCATTATGAAAACATCCACTTTGTTGTAAATTAAGTGTTTTTTGATAGTTTGTACTATATCCAATCTGAATAAAATAAGAATTTATTGCAAATTCCTCTTGTATTTTATGACTTACGGATGCACTACATCCATTACCATATAGAATCTTAAGTACTTCTTTATCAGTAGCTTCAGCTGGTCGAAAAAAAA